GATTCCAACCAGTTTTTCTTCCTTTGTTCAGGAGCCTCTGACCAGGGTTGCTACCAGTCGGCCATCTTCCCAGAATCCCCCCGCGAAGGCAGCGTTCTTATTGCTCACACTGGCTCCCACAAGCTGCACCAGGAACACAGGCATTGCTTCCTGCCATGGGGCTGGGGAGCAAAGGATGGGCCATAGCTGCCCACACACTGAAGGCTGAAATAGACCAAAATTAGCAGTAGTTTACCAGTTTTCCCCCTAGAATCTGAAAGCTTTCAAATAGACTCTAGAGCTTCTTTTTTTTTTTTTTTTGACTCTAGAGCTTCAAAATTATTACTTAAGACAGTTTTTGCCAGTACAATTCTTGTGTAAATGAAGAGATGGATTTTTGGTTCTTCCTATGCCACAGCCATCTTCCCTGACATCATTTCTCTCTTGGTCATTTTAAGATAAGCTTTGATAATATCATTCAGTTCAGTCTAACTACTGTTGATTGAAGAGCACCTTGTACAAAGTTCCCTTCTGGAGGCTGCAGAGAAATAGGGGGAAGACTGGCTTCCATTTCACAAGGCTAAAGATAAAAAAAAAAAAAAAAACCAGCCCAGCAGAGACCGAAGCAAGAGGAAGAGAGGTTCCAAGTAGGAAAAAAAAAAAACGTTTCTGGTGGGGATGGCCTCAAGGATGGGCAGGAATGAGAGATGGAGACAAAGGGGGAGTAGGTTAGATAAGGGACCCAAAGGACACTTGCCTTTGGGAGAAGTTCGGGCCAAGGAGAAACAGCAGCTTCTGGAGGGAGGCTCACCAAACACATGTGGTATCCCAGGGACTGCCACCTCCAGGCTCACTTTCTCCTGGATCCAGTTTTCTTTTGTCATGTCCAGTCTCCTGTCCAAGTACCCACTGTCAGTTGTACGGGTAGCTGGTGTCTGTGAGTTAGCCAGATGTAGAAGCAGAAAAATCAGTTGGTGGGAAGGGATGAAACTGAAGGCAAAATGAAGCTTGATGACTACACAGGAAGTCAGTTATTTAACGTGTGCAAGTCATCCACACCCTCCAGTATATAGGATGTGTACTTTCCTTTATTCTAGAAACCAACCTAATATATGTTTTTAAACTCCCAGTTCATGTGGGATTATCACTTTGTTTATACATTATCTTCCTATGTCTATGTCTGTGCCCTACTTTCCCTGAGCCTACATCTCAGGTCTATGAGGATGCATCTGTCTGGCAGCCTCTGTCCATCTAGTACCTGGTTTCCTGGGACTGCCATAATATAACACCACAAGCTAAGTGGCCTCAACAACAGAAATTTATTATCTCACAGTTCCAGAGGCTGGAAGTCCAAGATCAAGATGTCAACAGGGCCAGCTCCCTCTGAGGGCTAAGAGGAGACTCTGTTCCAGGCCTTCCTACTAACTTCTCTGTTTGATGACAGATTTTGGCATTCCTTAGAGTGTAGAAGCTTCATCTCAATCTCTGCTTTTATCTTCTCAAGATGTTTACTCTGTATGTGTGTGTTTCCAGATTTCCACTTTTTATAGGGGCCAATCACACTGGATTAAGGGTTCAATGTACTCTAGTATGACTCATCTTGACCAGTTATAACCACAATGGCCCTATTTCCTTATCAGGTCATGCTGTGAGGTACTGGAGGTTAGGGCTGCAGCATACAAATTTAGAAGGGGGACACAGTTCAACTTGTAAAATCTTGCTACACAGCATCTGATACATCCTCTCTGGGGAGTCACCTCTTACCATGGCGATGTCTCTCTTGCTGGGCCTCATGGCTCTTAGGGGCCAGCCCATCTCTACTCCTTCCACCTGGTGCCCTGTCCAGGGTTCTTGGGGAGGCTGTTTCAGGCTCCATCTACATATATGCACCCTGCAATCGTTTCTGAGGTCAACTGCCCCCCACCCCCCGGTCTTCTAGACAGGAAATAAAACACACGGTCCCTCTGCTCCCAGATTCTATAAGCCTTGTAGAAGTTTAGCCATTTCCCAACTTGAGCCTTCTTTGGAGACCAGAGCTCAGGGACTCACTATGGGGTCACCAGTGTATATAATCTGACTAGGCCTCCTGTGCTCCTGGAGAGGGGAATTGCTCCCTGGAGTATATGAAATAGACAGAGAGGTATGAAGGGAGTTGTTCTTTCTATGCAGAATGTTTTCTTTAAGGCATCTGTGCAGACCAGGACCTGGCAAAGTATGGCCCATGGACCAAATCTGGGCACCTGGTGGTTTAAATAGTTTTCTTGTTATTGTTTTTTAGAGACAGAGTCTCATTTTGTCACCCTCGGTAGAGTGCCATGGCATCACAGCTCACAGCAACCTCCAGCTCTTGGGCTTAGGCAGTTCTCTTGCCTCAGCCTCCCAAGTAGCTGGGACTACAGGAGCCGGCCACAACACCTGGCTATTTTTTTGTTGCCATTTGGCCGGGGCCAGGTTTGAACTTACCATCCTCGGTAAATGGGGCCAGTGCCCTACTCACTGAGCCACAAGTGCCGCCCTAAATACAGTTTTATTAGAACACAGGTACACCCATTTTTATACATTTGTCTCTGGCTGCTTTGGTGCTACAATGAGAGAGTTCAGTAGGAAATGTGTGGCTCACAAAGCCAAAAATCTTCATTTTCAGGCCCTTTATAGAAAAAGATTGTCAATTCTTGATGTTGACTTGTATGACACAAAAGCCTCTAAAGGCTTCTACCATTTTCTGCTGTTATACCTGTCCCCTAAAGCAATGATCGCAGGGTAGCCTTGCCACCCAAACACGAGACATGGCAAAGGGAGAAAAAGAAATACTAAAAATGACATGGTTACTGTGTCCAGTAATGTCATCCCACCAACAGATACATGAAATGTGTGCAAAGTCCTTGAGCACAGCAGTTGTGATTTGTGCCCCTTTTTCCTCATATGTTGAATTTCAATAAAAAGTATAGGGAGTTAAGAAGAAAAACAAGAAATCTCATTCCATCAGGGAAATGAACTGAACTGCGGTTGCCCAGGTCAGGGTCCTCCAAGGATACTGTGTGGTCTTGTGGAAGAGCTAGGCAGAGCCACGCTTGAGCTACCTAGGATGCTCATGGACGTGGCCTGGGTCTCCAGAACAGCTTAAAAGCCCAGTGGAAGCAGAGAGTGTCTAGGATGCAGAATGGCAGCACTGACCTCGTGTGGTTGCACACAGGCAGATAAAGGAGGCACAGCAGGGTCTAACTGGTCTCTACCCAAAACCCATGAGCAAGTGAACTCATCTTGTTCTTTCCTTATAAAGTAAATAAGATCTGTTTATTTACTCATCCTGAAACCTGGTGGCCTCCAAGCATACCTAGGAGCTATATAAAGGTTTTCCTTTCAGAAAACAGCCCTTAAACACACCCTTCCCCCCAAAAATGTTCCTTGAGTTTTCAGTGTTACCCATGAGCAGATTTTAAATTCAGATGAAAGACACAATTTGTGGCCCTTGCTGAAGTGGTACCCACCATGCTCTGTTTCCAAATAACCTTGGTTTATAATTCTTTGGTGTATCTTTCTGATGGCTGTCTTGAATGTGTTGTCAGCTCAACACATTTGGGTCTGGGATTGCCAATACGTGGTCTGTCACAGCAGAGAAGGCTACCTGAGAACTTCTACCCCACATGTTCCCTCTCCCGGCAAGAGAAACAAAAGCAGAGTATCCCTGCTATCTTGCAGCCCAATCTGGTTAACACAGACCTTCTTCTTCCTCCAGACCTGGGCCAGGAGGCACACACTGCCTCGGTGCCAGTGTGGAGCATGCAGTCTGTGAGAACCCACCCTGCCCCAAGGGTCTGCCCAGCTTCCGGGACCAGCAGTGCCAGGCGCATGACCGACTGAGCAGCAAGAAGAAGGGCCTGCTAACAGCAGTGGTGGTTGATGGTAAAGTCATGCGGCATGTCCTTACATGGTGATCTCCTTCTCCCCTCCCCCAAGACCATAAAACCACCTAGGGAAAGCCACATGACACTTCCCATCCCAAATCCACCCGACAGGACAGTCTAGTTTCCTTCGCACAATTCAGCTGTGGCCCTACTTCTTGAGCAGTAGGGTTGAACTTGAATGACCCAACTCTCTGAGCTCTCCCACTCAGCAGTTGTTGAGGCAGGCAGCAGGCCAGGTGCACCCTGCTCCCCCATTTGCAGCAAGGCGGGTGTGCTGTGACCTGAGGGACCCAGGACAAACTTTGAAGAGAGTGAGGCCCTATGGGAGGGGGCAGTGTTTCTGTGTGTCTGCTGTTTTACTTTCCAACATGAATGCTTTCCTTCCTTTCCTTAGTTTATTTTGGATTGACTCTTACTTCTTGACTGGGGTATTGGGGAAAACTTTGAGACTAGTTTACAATTTGGGAAAGATGATGATAACCACAGGCATATTTTCTTTCTAAGAACTTTCTCCTAAATCAATAGGCCCCACCCCCCCGTAAGCATTTCCAGTGGCTGATAAAATAACAGGTGATGTCTGTGTAGGATTTGAGATGTCCGCTTATTATAGAGAAGGTCACCCCAAAACCTGGTTCAGGGCTATTTTCCACCTAAAATTGTTGCTTTTCAGGAATCAAGACTTTGTGTTCTAATGACGATAACATGGTCCCATTAGTCAACATAACCATATTCCAGGAACCAGTTAGCGCTCCACACACCATCTCATTGAATATGCAGAATAAACTGTGCAGAGGACAAGAGTGTTAAGGTTACAGGACACATCTGAACTTCTGCAGCTGACCAGAGGCCAGTGTGGGAGCTGACCCCAATTCTGGAGGAGTTAAGGGGACTCCTAGAAAATAGCCAGCTATCATTTAGCTTCCAGTACTGTAGCAAGACAGAATGTGACCTCTTGCGTACAGATGAGGTACCTTTAAGAAGAACAAAAGGCCTGACTTTCAGACAGCCTCAAAAGTGTCTGGCAGAAGAATGACATTCCAATGCCATGTCTTAGGTTTCTTCCCTGTAACAGGAAGAAGTTTTGAAATCTACATCTTGCAGTCTGCTGTTACTAGTTCAAGTGTGCATCACTGTGCTAGATAGGCCCAGGCATTGCTCCAACAGTGGCCTTAAATCTGCAGCTTTTAGCCCAACGGCGTGGCCCATCCTTATTGAGCTGACTTGCAAAGTGACATATGATGTTTTAATCTACAAGGTAATGCCAACTCACTCAGCTGCAGACTTGTTTTTTATTTAATTTTTATTTATTTTATTTATTTTTTTTTTGAAACAGAGTCTTACTCTGTCGCCCTGGATAAAGTGCTGTGGTGTCATAACTCACAGCATCCTGTCATAGAGTGTCATGGCGTCACAGCTCACAGCAACCTAAAACTCTTGGGCTTAAGCAGTTCTCTTGCCTCAGCCTCCCAAGTAGCTGGGACTACAGTGCCCGCCACAACACCCAGCTATTTTTTGTTGTAGTTGTCATTGTTTTTTAGCTGGCCCAGGCCAAGTTCGAGCCCTCCAACCTCGGCACATGTGGCCAGCACTGTAACCACTGTGCTATGGGCACTGAGCGTGTACCTCAAACTCTTGAGCTCAAGAGATCCTCTTGCCTCAGCCTTCTGAGTAGGTGGGACTAGAGGCATGCACCACATTACCTGGCTAGTTTTTCTATTTTTAGTAGAGACAATGTCTTGCTCTTGCTTAGGCTGGTCTTGAACTCCTGAGCTCAAGCAATCCTCCCACCTTGGACTCCCAGAGTGCTAGGATTATAGGTATCAGTCACAGTGCCAGGAGATCCCAGATATTCTTCTTTTTTATTTTTTTATTTTTTATTATTTTATTTTATTTTGGCTGGGGCTGGGTTTGAACCCGCCACCTCTGGCATATGGGGCTGGCACCCTTCCTCTTTGAGCCACAGGTGCCACCCATATTCTTCTTTTTAAAAAATGAATGCCACCTTCAGGGGCTGTGCATGTAGCTGCACAGTTGTTTAGCAGCAGAATTTGAGGGAAGCACAGCCTTGACATACTGGACTTCCCCTGCAGGCGAGGGAGAGCGGAGCCCTGCCCCTTCCTCAAAAGAACGTGTGCACCTGCATGCAAGCAGGCCCTTGCCTCTCTCTGCCTGGCCGAGAATCTGATGCAGGAGGAGGCAGGAGGCTTCTGGCTGCGTCAGGCAGATCCAGACCCCTAATCAGGATGGCCCCAGGAAGAGCTGCCATCTTTCCAGCACGGTAGCCAGTTCTGATGAGAAGCAGCCTTGCTTCCAAACCCTCAGCTGTCCCCAATGTGCCAGATAAAGACCCTTTTAGGCCGCATTCCTGTCCTTTCCGACTTTGCAGGAGCAAGGAAAGGTCAGGTTGAAGACAGACTCAGACCTTTTCCCTTTCTACCCAACTATGTGCATGAAGTTGTTATTTTTTTCGATTTTTAACACTCCTGCTTCATTTATTCAATGCAAAAATCCCACTTAAATGTCTGTCTTTCCACAGATTTCTCCAAGTCCAGATTAGACCTCTATTTTCCTCCTAACCACTTTTGGATGGCTGAACGCCTTGGTTGCCTTATTGTCCCTGTAGCTGAGTCTCGGATGCTCCATCCAGGAAGCCTTGCAGTGAGGCTGTCTGGAGAGCTTATGGGGTTCAGAATGTGACCGTTCACCCTCTCACTCTTTGGGTCTTTCTGCCCAAGTAAGAAACAGTCATCACTAGATTCCTGCCTGCTTCCTTTGATCTAAAAAGTGCAAACCCTATTTGATTAAGGACAGATAACAGGCAGTATAAGTGTTTTGCCTTTGAATGCAAGACCTCCAACTTCGGGGTTTTGCAAGGAAAGCTCAACACATCCTCCTTGGGGTGGAATTGTGATGACTTCTTGCCTCAGTGGTTTCCTTTCTCTCAAATGTAAACCAAAGCCAGTATTTTCAAAAGGAACATTTCACAAGGGTAAAAACAAAATAATAAATGGTCAATTCAGAAAGCAGGCGGAGAATACAGATTATAAGTGTTCCTCTCAAAACTCGTTTTATAAAAGGCACAATTATAGCTCAGCTGTCATAGGAGTGATTCTTGTGGTCAGGCTCCTCTGAAGCCCTTATGACTGCCCTATTCATAGCATTGCTATCACTGTGGAATTCTTTGGTGAGTGACGCATAGTTCAAGAAAGGGGAAGCTATATTTTTTCTTTTCTTTCTCTCCCTTTTTTGTTTAAAAAGAATTCTTGCAGAGGTAGATTTTTCGAGGGAAGATTCAGGACCACAAATACATACCACCTCCAACAGAAGACAAAGACTCTCCTTAGAATATGTTTTTAAGTGGAAAAGCCTTTAGACAGAAGCCCATGGAGATGGCCAGCGGCCAACTCACTCCATTTGTGCTTTCCCTGTAGAATCTCAATGAAGTGGAAACCTTTAAGAGTTCAGTCCTCTCTGCCCAGGCCAACAGGCCACCAACCCACTGAAGTGTCAGAGGGCTTGGTGGAAGCTGTGCCTGGACATGGCTGCGTGTTCCCAGCTCCTTCTCCCTGGCATGGCAGAGCCTCTACCCTCACCCTGGGTCTGAGCCCCTGCAGGGAGAGAGGTGTGGTGGTTAGGGCTCTCTGATGCCAGCTCCCCCAAGTCAGCTGGAGCTGCTGGATAAAAAAGATGGAAGCTGTCGCAAAGATGCAGCATCTCTCATAGGAGAGAGAGACATGGGGCCCTGGCCTCTGAAGATGTTGGGACCTTCCCTCCATGACCTCCACAGTTCACTCTTGCCCTTCATGTCCTCCTGTGCCCGCTGCAGGCTGGTTTTCTCATAGTGTGTCCACATTGCATACTGAGAGGTCAGCCCACACTCCTTATTCAGATCTTTAGGGGCCACACGTGACTCAGAATTCAGAGCATTGTAGGCGTTAGAGCTGTAATAACAGTGCATCAGCCAAATGTTCCCAGGGAAGGACTGCACAGTCAGGACATGGATATCTCCACCAGGCACCCGCCTCAGTGAGGTGACATTAGTACTACCAAAGTCTCCTGTCAGTCCAGGCTGGCTTTGTTGCCAAATATGATTGCTGCAGATATGGAAGGATGCTTGCATTCAGAGGTTTGGGGACTTATGAATTACAGATGAGGTAGTGTGGCCTTCTGTGGGATCAGTGAGAAGATATGACCTTGCTGTACCTGATTTTCAGTATTGAGTTCCCAGGAGAGACTAGGAATGGCACGGCTATGGGCAGTTGCTCACTGCTAGTCTAACTGACTGAGACCTGGCCAGGAGGCCATGATGGGCAGCTTCGCCAGTGTGCGTACCCCACAGAAGGCCAGGCAGACCTTGGGTAAATACTGGCATGGCCTCAATTTAATGGTGTCTCTCCTGTGCTGAGACCTTCTAACCACTGGCAGAGAGAGAACAGTGAGAATGCTAAGAGCCACAAATGTCCTCTTTATTGAAAAGCACCAGCAGGACCCTTCTGAGCCCCTGGCAGGCAGATTTGATCCTGTGGTTATTGAATCCCTGAGCCCATCTCTCTGCCCTGTCTATGGCTTTCCCCAGTCATGGAGAAGTCCTGACCAAGGCAAGACAGCCCAGCCTCGGTCAGAATTCCATCTCTGCACATGCAACTGTGCAGGGGAGTTGCTCTAAGTTTCTTTACTTCGGGCTCGG